AATTGAGCTGCCCAGAAATCATCTGTGCTAGTGGTTTTTCTGCCTTGCCAATCAGATTCCTTTAGTGCTTAAAAACAGGACATCAGTTAGTGTTCGCTTATTGTAATAAATAGATATTTGGATCAAGAACAGTCTTAGCAGAAAAAGCAAGCCTTTTAATTCCTGCAGCATCTATGGAAACACAGAACTGTCAATCTGAGTTGCCTCTCAAATGTTCATCTAGTTTTACCCCTTTCAGCAAAAAAAAAAAAAAATCATAACCAAATATACCCAAAAGATTAGGCTACAAAGTTAGATGTGTGCAAATGCCTTGGTTTGAATGGAGTGTATTAATTTTGTATAAAAGTGTTTTTTTTAAAAATGTTCAGGACTAGAATAGAAATCAGTTAAGTATGAGGAGTGGATTCTGAAAAATACAATTTCCTGTACGCTTACTAGGGAATATCCTGCAGAACTTATTTTTGAAGGAACATGGAGAAGTTCGGGTTGCAAGCTCTTTATTCTCGCAATCTCCACTCCCTCTTCTGAATAGAGTAATAACTTAGAGAGAGGCGTCTGGTTGATATACATCAAAAATCCCAACAGATTCAACTAAGATTGGAAAGGCTCCAGCCTGGCATTTTATATTGCTACTAGTGGTAATGAACTATGTAGACCAATATCTGACTCAATAAAAAAACAGCTTACTGAGTGCAGTGACTTCCGGTGTCAGCCACCCGAGTTTTGCAAAGCTCACCCTCCAGCAATTCTATGTGAAACTTTAAAGTCAAAGCAAACATAATTAAGTTACTTTTAGTTCTTATTTTCATTTTAGATTACTTGAATTTAATTGTTCCTAGATGTCTTCTTTCAGCAAAACAGGGTCATAATGAAAGAAACTGAGGACTGGTTCACTTTTATAGGACTTGCTTTGTCTATCTGTGTGTAGTTATGTGTGAGGCATTTGTGTACTCTTTTGTGTATAACATGTACATTGTACTGCTATGGCTAAATAACATTTATATTGTTTTAATGCAAGATAGGGTTGTCAAGGTTGTGACTGACGATCCCAACCACACCAGCAAATCGAGATGATCAGATCTCTTTAAGCATAACTTTATTGAGTACATCATTTCGGCACGCTTAAAGCAAAGTCAACTCTTTAACTAGTTCCTGTGGTTTTTGCCTAATTAAAGAATGAATTCTTTCCTCCCCTCCCTCGACCAGGTCATATTGTCCAATTAGGAGTTCTGGTGTGACTATGGCAATTCCTTCAGGCCTTTGCCAAGCATCTGTTGAGATTACCTTGGTTCCCACCGGATGGCTTCTTGTTGTTGTCTGGGCTGGCATTCCAAACCTCTTTATTTATTTTATTTATTTATTTGGTTTGTCAATTGCCTACAAGATAATAGGTATAAGTAAAAACATAGTTATGAATACATAGATACATATAAGAAAAATAAAAGAAACAATAGGACAGGGACAGTAGGCATGATGGTGCGCTTATGCATGCCCCCTACAGATCTCTTAGGAAAGGGGTAAGGTCAATAGTAGACAGTCTAAGGTTAAAGATTTTGGGGTTTGGGGAAGAAACCACAGAGTCAGGTAGGGTATTTCTGACATTGAACACTCTGTTGCTGAAGTTGTATTTCTTGCAATCAAGTTTGGTGCGATTAACCTTGAGTTTGTATCTTATGTTTGTTCTAGTGTTGTTATGGTTGAAGCTCAAGTATTTATTGACAGGTAGGACATTGCAATGTATGATTTTATATACTATACTTAGATTGGACCGAAGGCGGCGTAGTTCTAGGTTTTCTAGGTCTAGAATTTCAAGTCTGGTGGCATAAGGTATTCTGCAATGAGTAGAGGAGTGGAGAACTCTTCTTATGAAATATTTCTGGACTTTCTCAACTGTGTTAATATCAGATACGTAATGTGGGTTCCAGACTGATGAGCTGTATTCGAGTATTGGTCTAGCAAATGTTTTGTATGCTCTAGTTATTAGTGTAATATTACCAGAGAAAAAGCTACGTAAGATTAGATGAACAACTCTTAATGCCTTTTTGGCTATGTAGTTACAGTGGGCTCTAGCACTTAGATCATTTGAGATGAGTACTCCAAGGTCCTTGACAGAGTTTGGATCATCAACAAGGTCTTGACTATTCAGCCTTTATTTTATTTTCTGATTTTTTTTTTGCCAATATGTAAGACAGAACATTTGTTTGTTGAGATTTGAAGTTGCCATTTGTTTGACCATTCTAATATATAGTCGAGGTCTTTTTGAAGGGTAGCAGTATTGTCTGTGGTGTTGAATAGCTTTACATCATCAGTGAAGAGGATGCAGTTGCTCTTAATATGATCACAGAGGTCATTTATGTAGAGTATGAAGAGAGTTGGTCCTAGAACACCACTGTTGAGGTACAGAATTTCATAGGATGCTCCCAATTTTGACCATTTGTTGTCTGTTTGACAGGAATGCTTCTGACCAGTTATGCAAGAGTCCAGAGAAACCATTAGATTTTCGTTTTAGGAGTAGTTTGTCATGTACCACTGAATCAAAGGCTTTACAGAAGTCTATGTAGATTGCATCTATTGCTTTGCCCTGATTGAGTTGTGTAGTCTATATGTTTTTGCAGTGTAAGAGTTGCAGATTGCAGGATAGTTTTTTTCTTTCCTCCCCCCACCCCCACCCAATACTCTGTGGCAAGCTGAGAAACGAAAAAATGTCTGCGACAGCAGGCAGTGTTTTGAAGTTTGACAAGGGCCTTCTATGTATTTTGAACTGGTTAACTATTCCTGGTTTATACTCTTCAACCCCACATCTCCACATCCATCTATTACAAGCTGCTCTACTAACTTGGAGCTTTAAGATCTCAGATGCTAAGGTAGTGCTTTGATTGCCAAAATCTGCAAGTTCAGATTGCTGATATACCTGTTTCATCCCTCATTCCCGCCCCCCAGATTTGCCCTTTATTAGCGATGTGAGATTTTAGAAGCAATATTAGATTTGCAATGATTTCCTCTTTCATAGAGATGTTCCAGTCTGCTTAGAGCAGGGGTGTCCAACCTTGGCCACTTTAAGACTTGTGGACTTCAACTCCCAGAATTCCTCAGCCAGCAAAGCTGAGTTGAAGTCCACAAGTTTTAAAGTGGCCAAGGTTGGACACCCCTGGCTTAGAGCAAGCTCAACACAGCTGTCCACTACTTAGCTTGAGCTTTGTATAAGTGAAAGAGCTATTAGAGATTAAACACTTGTCCTTAGAACTAAAGTGATTTTTAACTGAGGCACTTCCAGCTGCAAGCCAGGGTGATTAATCATCCAGTGATGCAGTGTTGACATGTGAATCAGCTGGAGTGATTTCTGATCATAACTGACTATTATAAAAAAAAACATAGACGATACTGTGCAATAATATGAAACTCTGGAAGTTTCAGTCCCTTCAACTGGCTTTGCTATTTTTTTTTTCAAATCTAACAGCAACTGTTTAATAGGATGAAATTTAACCAATAAACTTTTCCCCAACAAGAAACTCCAGTTCTGGAGAGAGCAGGTTTTGTTCAGCCCCTTGAGGCATATTGTTCTATCAGGGAAAACTTATGTTCAGAGCGTTCTCATTCTCTTCTCATAAGAGATAATGCTGTAATATCAGCAGTGGAAGGGAGAAGAGTTATCTGTTAATGGTTTCCTTTTAACTTCAAAGAAGAGGTTGGCCTGGCGATTAAAGCTATGAATTAAAAATCCACTCATTTAATTATCAGCTGGATGTTCTTAAAGTTAGACCTACCACCATCATCACTTGCAAGCTTTCCAGCTGGCTTCTGACAAGTAAAATCAATGGTGAAATCCAGCTACACTTAATAACCCCATGATTCACTTAGTAACTGCAGGGATTTGTTTAACAACCATGGCAAAAAAGGTCATAAAACCAGGTGCAACTCACTTAACCACCCTGCTTAGCAATGGAAATTTTTGCCCCAGTTGTGGTCAAAAGTAGCTTGAGTGGCTACCTGAGTAGCTTGGGTTACAGTTTCTCCAAAAGGAAAGAATATTTTCAGGGACTGATTAGCCCTGGTGATGCAGTGGTTAGAATTCAGTGTTGCAAGCTAACTCTGCCCACTGCCAGGAGTTTGATCCTGACTGGCTGTATTTGGTATTTCTGTAAACATTAGGTGCCATATTCTACATAACCTAGATTGCTGAAGGCTGTGTTATAAGTCTGTTTGCTGTTATTTACTTCACTGATACTGAAATGTTTTGAAACTGCATGAATTAGTTATCCCTCTTTATTAAGCTACAAGAATGGCATTCTTACTATATCATTTGATTTAAGTTCCAATGTCCTAAACTTTTATTAAACTAATGCTGAAGTAAATGGTCACTGCAGATTTAATGTGTTAGCCAGATGTGTTCCAGAACAATATTCATACAGTCAAAAATGTGTGTGTGCGGGGGGTGGTGGTGTTGTCACCTTTCTTTTTGTGAGCTGATGCTACCATGTAAGTATCTGATGATCCTTCTACTAGTAGGAGATGGAAATGTGGTGTGATAGAAGTTTCTAGATATTGGCAACCTAGAGCTAATAATGAAAATGCTCTGTGTGTAGTTGGTCAGATATAGTGCCCTCAGTTTTCACTGTGCTTTTGTCTTATTCTTCTTGGTAAGCCAAGCCACCCTATGTGCATCCGGGCATTTTCTGAAGCCTTTAGAAAGCTGAATGAATCATCACAGCTCTTCCCTTTGAAGCAGCTTTGGAACCTCTAGAAGATAGTTCCCATTTTTCTCATTTCATGTAGCTATAAATAAGTTTATTTTAAGTCCATTCAAGTCCTAGTAGTCAATGGGAAGCAAATGATATTAAATAGTGTTGTCAGTGCTAGATCTATTCAATCAAAGCTAACCCCAAGGCAAACTTTGGCCATGAGACAGAAAGGAACTTAAAAGGGGGATTGGTTGGGTTTTATTTTATTGCCTGCTTGTCATCTTTTACTGTGAAAGAATCTGAAAATCCTTGTTTTTTCAGGACTCTTGAATCCTCAGTGACTGTCACTAGAAGCTGGGATTGGCTCAAGAAATTTTCCTGTTAAAAATGTATACAAGGAGAATGTAAGTTGGAAGGACCCATCAATTTGCTGTAATCCTGCTTGCTGTGTATTCAATATATAAAAATGTATCTGAGGCATTCAGGGTTACTCCATATTATCAATGTCGAGATGGGCTGTCAACCAGTGCAAGCATTTGAACTGTTTCACAATCAGCATTTTGTTGTGTGGACCAACTTGTTGGCCAACGTTGCTGCTAATTCACTGTAGAAATTTGAGTGGTTCCTGGACTTCATTTCAGATGGACACTGCTAATCTTAGGTACCTTCCAGCAGACTCCTGCAGATGCTTCAACATGTAAGTGCCAACCTAGCATTGTCTGCAGATAGCATTTAGTTTTAGACTCTACTATGTGTATTCCTGGCTTCTTCAGTAGGAAATTCCCTTTCTGTATATGATATTCATGGAACTATTTGGGAATTTCAAGCTACAAGATGTTGCAAGGTGAAAGTAGCTTGTGGGTGTATTTAAGGAAAAAGAAGAACCATTAGACTGTCCCCCCTCCCCACAGTGCTGTTACTGCATTCCCAGACAGTATTTAGTACTATTATCTTCTGTACTGTAAATATGGCTCTTCTTGTCAAACTATAAAAAAAAGTCTTAATAAAAAGATCTGGGAACTGAATTACAACTTTGGGTATTTTTCTGTTGCCTTTTTAAAAATAACTTGTTTGATGAACCACCACAACTAGTATAAAGATTGTCATGACAGTGATACAGATCTTGATTATCAACACAAGACCCTTTGCATTCCTGTCATAGCCTCTCACACTCTCCAGCACAGTCCCTGAGAAATCAAGTCTCAGAAACCTTCTGGAGCAGAAACTGATCTTCTCAATACTTTATCAACTGCTCGATAGCTCCTTTAATTGAAAATGTTGTACAGCACTATGTTAGCTCTTTCTGAAATAGCCAACAGAAGTTAGGTCTTCAGCCAAGGTTCTCAAAAAAATGAAACTCTCAGTATGAACAGCTCCAGTGGGGTTGCCATAAGTCACCCAGGAAAGAACAAGATATCTCCACTTAAAAAAAAATAACAATAGTTGCATAGGTTTTGGGGGACTTATCCCAATCCTTCCCACTCTGGCAATTTTATTTCAGAAGCTACAATTTCTTTAAGGGTAGGGGACAGGTAGCATAAAGTTATCTGCAGATTTTCCCTATTAGAACAAGAAGCAGTGAGGAATTATTTTAACCAGAAAAACAGCTTGCTATGGAAAAAGTAACCCTTGGTTGCTATGTCTACAATTAATATAAAAATAAAAGACTAGATGCACAATGCAGGGATCTTCCAAATTACATCTAATTTGCTCCATCTAAACCTTTAATATGTTGGTAATAACAATAACAACAACAATAATAATAATATTTTTACTAGGGACTTAAGGAACTATTAATGCCTTCTACAGTTACCCACAAGGCCATTCTAAAGAAAAGATTAAGCACATTGCTTAACCAAAAATCACCCAGTATTTATTAATTTTCAGTTATATTTTATGTTATCTCAAGGAGATCATGGCTTCCCTTATTATTATTATCCTCAAAACAGATGTAACCTAAAAAGGTAGATTAGACTGAGAAACAACTTGCTCCCAATTTTTGTATGGGCTTCCTGGCTCATACAAAGGATTTCTCTGAATTTCTGGATCTAATCAAACATGTCACATTGACTTTTTGACCCATACAGTAGAATTATTTCCTGTTTTGAAATCTTCAACCAAATCTTGCTCTATTGCTGCTAGGTTTCATATTTCAGCCAATCAGTTGCATTCTAAGATATTTATTCTGCTGACATGATTTTCTGCTTGCTTGCACACCCAGCATCCAGATGCCATTGGGTATGCTCAGTCTATTTTGGAAAATTTCCTCTCAATTTTATTCTTAAAGATGTGTTCTTATTCTGAAAAACGTGCAGCTCTGCCAATGCTGTGGATACCCCGTTTGGCTGCAAAAGCAAGATCACACACACGCCTCTAAAGTCTAGTAGAGGAAAGGATTCCCCTCTAAGGAATAAATACTGACTTTACCTGTAGAAATATAAACATTATTTCCATTAGATGGGTTCACTGTGATTACCATTGACTAGAATAATCCTATAGAGAGTTATGAAAGAGATATATGAGAGAGATCTCTGGTCCAATGATAAAGAATCCAAGGTAAAAACCAGAAGACTCTGAGTTCTAGTACTCCATGAAAACTGGCTGGGTGACTTTGGGTCAGTCACTCTCTTTCAGCCCAACCCACCTCATAGAGTGGTTGTTATGGGGAAAATAGGAGGAGAAGGGAATAGTAGATGTGTTTTTCACCTTGAGTTATTTATAAAAATAATAAAGATGGAATATAAATGTCTGTAAATCCTTACAGAATATAGACAAAATAAAAATGAACAAAAAATACTGCTTTGTAGATCAGGGAGAAGGTTCTATTGCTCTCTGTTAAAACAAAAGTGAAATAAAATGTTTCAAAACATTTAAAACTACCGTGTTTCTCCAACAATACCACCTCCCCCAATAGGAAGACCCAGTATGTTTTCTAGGCATAAAATGAAATTAAGCCCCTCCCCCCAAATTTAGGCAGATTTTAAAACATGCAAAATGGGGGGAAGGGTGGGGGGACTTGCCATTAGGAGCACCCCCGGGCAGCAATTCCTCGCCACCAGCTGCTCCTAATGGGCGATCATGGCAGAGCGTGGAGAGCCAAGCACTCCTGCCAAGCACCTTTGCGGCAGACCCAAGACCTTCAGCGCCCACCGCTGTTGATTTCCCTTCTGCCCATGCCGCCGCCACGTTTGGACCTGCCACTTCCACATTTGGAGCACCACTGCTGTTTGGAGCACCTCCAAACACAGTGGCAGCTCCAAATGCAGAAGTGGCAGCTCCAAACATGACGGCGATGCTCCAAATGGTGGTGGCACACCAAATGGCAGCAGCACTCCAAACACGGAAGCAGCAGCTCCAAACGTGGCAGCGGTGCTCCAAATGGCGGCGGCACTCTAAATGGCAGCGGCACTCCAAACACGGAAGCGGCAGCTCCAAACGTGGCGGCAGAATGGGCAGAAGGAAAGCAACAGTGGTGCGTGCCAGAGGTCTTGGGTCTGCAGCAAAGGTGTTTGGTGGGAGTAGGGAGCTCTCTGCGCTTCGCCATGATCACCCGTTAGGAGCGGCTGGTGGCGAGGCTGCCCGCGGGGCTCTCTAGATGAGGATGCAAGGGGGGGGATTAAGTCACCCCCGAAAAGATGGCCTAGCTGTTTTTTTCAGGGCTCAAAAAAATATAAGACCCAGCCTTATTTTACGAGAAACATGGTAATTCCCTCCCAGTTTGTTGAGCCCAACATTCCAAGCCATCATGGCAATTGATGGGAACTATAGTCCAACGCTGCTGGAGAGTACCAGATTGAGGAAAGCTAATTTAGTGAAATATCAGGTTTCAGCTCTTCATCAAAGGCAACAAAACCAAGCTGCACTGCCAGCTGCATGTTGCAGCATTGGTACATTATTATTAGAGCAGTTTATGTACCTTCCACAGCTACTATATCACACTGTTTGCCAAGCAGGAGGTCTTTTTACATAACAACATGAACCCAAATTGCTAAGCAAGATGATTGCTTGTTTGCATGTATGTTAAATGCAGAGTCATCCAAGCAAATGGGATTGAACCACTGGGGAGCATTGTGTTTCAACTCCCCACTCAGCTGCTTTTTATATTATGACCTGAGAGATGTGCATTCCGTGGCAGGCATTGTTTTCCGTATACCTTCCTCTTGTCTAGGCTGCTACCATTGAAAATGTTTTGAGGTACGCTGATATTCCTCTGTCTGCTTCAGTTGTCCTTGGTAATCTGGCTGAAGAGAACTCTATAGAAAAGGTCAGGAGGAGGATAACTGAGCTACAGGTGGGATGCAGGAAAACTGTTAACTTCACAAGGATCCAACATGAGATGGTGCGTCCTACTGGAGCACCAATTCTTGGCTAAGAGAACAATATAAACCTTCTATTCCAATTTCCTGCTGTAATATTCTTCTCATCTGCTCTCAGTGGAGAAGTTAAGAGGGACAGAATTGACTTGCCTCTCAGTTCTGATTTAAGCTTCATATTTTAGCAACAGCGAGTAGGCTGAAATGAATTCTTTCTGTATCCCATTGCCTTAAAAAGCCAACACTTGGAAAGCTACACAGTTTGGCTGCTGGCATCAAGCCTGCTCCAGCCATCAATCAGGTGGGGGGGAGGGGGGAACAACATCAGATCCTAACAATTGCACCGTGGAATCTGGCCAAGAATCAATTACAGATAAAACTTCTCTGGGAAGTACAAAAAGAAGCTATCTAGTTCCACTGAGATGAGGAACAGCCATTTGTAAGTCAGGATGTCCTGAAAACGGTGTCACTGCTGAATCTGTAATGGCTTTAGACTGCATTGCTTGGGCACTAATCATATTATATTGCAGGGCCTCTTTCTAAGTTTGCTATTGATCAATAAGAACAGCTCAGGCTGCCGGTATTTTTGAAGAGATCAGAATCATTTTCCATCTGGGACCAGACTCCTTGATGGCTGGGACAAAGATATTAATTGCAGGTAGGTCTAAATAGCCCTTCAGCACTGAATGCAGCTGCACAGGAATTCTACCACAGCTGGGTAACCAAATGAGAGTTTTCTGGTCCTGCTGTCTATCTCTCACATCTTTCTTGGCATTTTATATAAAGAATAACAATGGCCAAATCCATACATTATGTTAAGTCATGAGTTCATTAATTATCATTTGTTGAACAACCCCTACAAAGAATGATATTGCTTAGTATATTGCATGAACTAATGTATAATCTTCCCCAAACTTGGCTATTGTCCAACAAATGTGTCCTAGATTTTTAGGCTAGTTGCCATGATAGCTAATAATTATCAAGATCCTAACACTGAAAGGACATTATATTGCAAACTCTGATTATGGAAGGCTATAAGATTTGGCCAGAAAATGTGCAACCAAGAACTGAAGTTTATAAGGTTGATTCTTAAAATGACTCCTAGTTAATAGTTCCTTAACTTTGAAAGAGAACTTACAGGAAAGAGCAAGCAAGTTACTTGCCCATCCTGCACACACCCCCAGTACATTCCTCCCCCATTCTCCATCCAGTGAAAGCCAGATGCATCTGAGTTCAATCAGCATTCATTCATCTCAGATGTAATCATTTTCTTCTGTTTATTTGCTAGTAAAATCCATAGGCTCTGGGAGTTTCTTACATGCCAGAGTAGGGAAGATGCCAAATAAGGTTGTGGTGATAAGAACTTCCAAATCACTAAAGAAGGCAGAGGTAGAATATGTAGACCCAAAGAGCTATGGACACAGCCTCCCCTGCTGCTACAAGAATCCAAAATAAATATGTGGCAGTCACATCGCCAAACTATTGGGTTTAACTATGTCATCGGGTTTCTCTGATTTGCAATTTTGAATCCTGATTATAGTCATTGTTCTTTAGTTTGTAGTTCTGAATGGAAAGAGGCATGGTAGTTAATGTGATTCATTTGTTGAAAACCAAAGAATGCAAGGGGAGAGACTATATAGTCCCAAAACACGTTCCCAGTGGCTCAGGCATAACACTTCCACAACAGAACAGTGAATACA